TTAACATACTATTTCTGTAGAAAGGGGCAAAGGAGGAACTTCTGAAAATTCTCTTTATCTATATGCTGGGAGGCTCTTATTACTATTTTATAATCACTTGATTAGTGGATAATTAAAAAAATAGTAATTGAACAGCAAATAGTAATGGCATAAAAAGAAATGAGTGTTTCTAGAGGCATCATCAACTTCATAAACACGTGAAATCCATGAAATTCCGTTTTGGGGTGCCTTCTATAATGGTACTTTATTCTCAGTGCATGAGTATACCATGTGAGAAACAACTTTCTTTAAGGGTTTTTTTTGCTCTCTTTGACAGAATATATTCCATTTTTTACGCTGAGCTTAAGTTACCAATGAATTAAACAGTGCCTTCAGCCAGCTTGATTTACACCCCTCTCTAGTTAATTTTTTTTTGTTAAATTGTCAATGTCAGGATGCTTAAGTTTCTTCAGTAATTCAGTAAACAAAACCACCAGTTTTACCATTAAGGTCTTGGGATAGCGTTTAACACTTTACATATATATATGTGTATATATATATATACATAAGCAAATCAGTTTATCTGGGCCAGAGTGCCATTTCACATGGTAGCTTATTTCTCCTCCTGCTGATCTTGCCCTGTGGTTATTTCTTTTCCGTTCCACCACATGATTGCTCCAGATATTTTTTCCTGTGCTTTTAAAATCTTGCAAAAATCACCTCCATTCTTAGCTTCAACATTATTCCTTGATACTTTCGTGGATCTCTTGGGTCTGCCTGGAGTACTGATATTTCCATTTACTTTCATTTACACTAATTCTCTTTTCAAGGTGAGTTTTGGCACACTGAATACCGCCTTAATGAACTTGCCTTCTCGGGATTTGCAGTGTGTTTAGTTGGAGAATGGCAGCAAATAACCCTGAAGTTAAGGGCTGGCTGGAAGGGTCAGGGAAAGTTGCATTCGTATGTATGAAAATCTCGCTGTTGGAACCCAGGTCCTGCATAAGGGAAAAGTCTACAGACAGTGACATTGGCTTTGCATCTTTATGTGCTAGAGCAGTGTCATCCTGCTGTCACCTTCCGAAGTTGATTTGATTTGAATTCAGCAGAACTTCAGAAATGCCTTTATACTGCTGCCTGAATGCTTTTGTATCAACTTAGAAAAACTTCATGTGCTGACTCCTGGAAGCTTTGTTCTTTGCAATTTCCTGACAATGAAATAATTGTCTGTGATAGGCAAAAAGAAAGCAAAAATAACTTCAACAGAGAAGTTTAGCCCCTTGGAATACTCTCTATCTGCTTTTAAAATTTCAGTATCTATGCATAAATTAAATAAGATTTATAAATCTATGTTACTCAAGCTCAGCAAGGAAGTTTTGACTTTCTATGCTAGCCTTTGTTCTTGTCAGTGTGAGTGACTACTCAGAAAAACTAATTATTTTGCACTGGTACTGGGAATGCATCTGTGAGTAGGACCCCTGATCTCCTGTTAGCCAGACTAGCTTTTATCTTCTGGGTCCTGCTGCTTCTCTAAATATTTCTCTTTAAGATGAAGAACTTGTTCTTCTGGTTGTAGAGATTTTTGGGGAGGGGACCAGGGGCTACTGATGTTCAGCTGGACTCTGAGCTCCTGCAGGCTGCCAGACCAGAGTCCATAATCAGCAGTGAGCGGCAGCTTTCTGATGCTGTGAAATTATGAATGACTTTCCTTATCCGAGGCATTGAGCACCGATACTTCTTGGCACAGAGTAGTGGAAAGCTCTCCTTCCACCTCTACTGTAAAAGCTCACCAAGAAGATATTTGATAAGAAGCATAAAATTTCTCTGAAAGAACTGATACATTATTAGAAATAAAATTATTTTAAAGCATAGGACACAATTTTTCTTTGATTCTTGCTTTTCCCTTTGCCCTAAGCCCCCAGAGTGAATATGGTCATGATGATGAGCACTGTTTATCTTATCAGGAACACCTGTGGGCTTAGCCTGTTTATTTGGATATTTGCATGACATCACTTGCTGATGTTTTGGTATGCCTTATCAATGTATAAAATGAAATTCAACATTTTGGTTTGGTCATATGAATAGCAGAATGGCATGAGATTTCCTCTCCATGCTATTGCTGCTGTGGGAACTGACAGAGCAAGCACCCTTTTCAACCATAGGGATTTCTTCTGGCTGTTTGGGATCTTTCCCAGCTGATTTATAACCTTTGTGGTGTGCTTCCAAGTCTTGTTCTTTCTCCAAGCCCCATAGAGGAGGATGGCTCGCTGTTGGCTTTGCTGTGTTTCAGATTGGGATCTGACTACCTTGGCCTTCTATGGTAGTAAAAAGCATGAAGTTTCATTTGATGTGAAAGGTACATTGATTCAGTCTGCATCAAGCATCCTATCTCCAGTGTCTAAAGCAGAGGAAAGGTAGAGGTGGTTAACACATGCGTGTGAATGTAGCAGGTGAGCACTTGTACATGTGCTAGTGACCTTCTCCAAACAGCAGCTGCCCCTCTGTGGGCACAAAAACAGTGTAAAAAGCCCCATGAGCTGAAGGGCAGTAAAGGATTGTGCTGAGGCAGTGTAATGGCACAGCTGGAAGAGAGGAATCCCATTGTGTGTATGTAGGTTATGACACTAAATCGCACAGAGCTCAGATCAAAGAATCATTAAAGTTGGAAAAGATCTCCGAGATCATCTAGTTTAACCATCAGCCCATCCAAATCACAAAAACCGTGGTTTTACCCACTGAAACACATCCTCCATTGCCACATCTACTATTTCTTGAAAACCTCCAGGGATGATGACTCCACTCCTCCAGAGTAGGCTTAGCTGTAGCAAGGATGTATCTTAATCTTTGCCTAATGCTTGAGCCCGCCCAGAACAGGCTTATTCTTGAAGTTTGAAAATATTCCACCACATTATAATGAATGGAAAAAAAAAATGCCATTCCTCTCGAATACAGTCTCTTCTTATAGGACATACATGCTGCTAATTTATGCGGATGGGGGAAATATTTGCATATGTTGCTATGAAAAAATGCTGAGATTGTATGATAGAGGTCCTTCTTGTAGCCAAAACTTTCCAACTGAAAACTGAAAAAAAGTTGTGATAAACTTTGTGGGAGAATCTTTTCTGAAAAGCCTCACATCTATACTTTCTTTTCTGTGCTAAAACAAAGCCACATAGACTTGGTTTGCTAGCCTTGAATTCAACTCAGTTTTTGATTTTTCTAGCGTTTACACGAATTCTGTGCTTGTAACCTTGGGGAGGGATGGAAGAATATGCCCATCAACTGTTCTGTTACTGAACACACACATAGCAATATATGGCCTCAGTTTGCACTTTGGGGAGATTCAGCTTGGATTTTAGGGAAAATTTGTTCTCAGGAATAGTGGTAAGGCAGTGGCACAGGCTGCCCAGGGAGGTGGTGGAGTCAATGTCCCTGGAAGCATGCAAGAAATGTGTGGATGTTGCGCTGGGGGACGTGGTCAGTGGGCATGGTGATGGCAGGTCAGTGGTTGGACTAAATGATCTTTGTGGTCTTTTCCAACCTTTGTGATTCTGTGGTCTATCCAAGGTCTTCTAGATTTTGCTGTCCTGAAAATCACTTGATTTCATGGTTTCTTTTCTGCAGTAGTACCAGATTTTCTCTCACTTTTGCGATGCCTGGGATCCTCAGACCAAGGCTTAATTAAGAACTAGGATTGGGTAGCTTAAACAGACCCCAAATGCCACACACTGAATGCAAGTCTTGCAAAATGGGCTTCTTCTTACAGGTAGGGTTTCTCTGCTCTACAGACTGGTTGTAGCTGGTGTGCAGTTGCAGAGCTTAACCCAGTGCTCTCTCCCGCAGTGCAGACAGAAGTATGTAAGACATCTGTGTAAATAAAATACACTGACAGGAGTTCTTCCATTGCTGCCAGTGACTGAAGTGGCACAGGCAAAAATCACAGCCAGATGAGTGGGACTGTGCCAGAAGGGATCTGTATCACTTTGACCCCTTTCTCGATAGATGCAAATACTGTAGTAAATTCACTGAGTTTGTTGAAGCAAATATTTAGAAACAGAGTTGCTTTAAGCTCTCTGAGGTGCTGCTAAGTCTTGTATTGCAGAAGTTTGCTGTTTACCAGAAAACTGAATGACTTTAAAGCTCCCAAGAGTTCTCTCACCTCTTCTGCAGTGAAGACCTTTTCAGGCAGAGGTGCCCAGTGGATTTCTGCCAAGATCAACTTTCCTACCTACAGTACGTGCAGGGAGGAGAAAGCACCTGGAGTGCTGATGCTCCAGCCTCTGGCTGAAATATGGGTAGGGCTCTGCTGCTTCACTTCTGCATGTGCTGAAGAACAAGGATCAGCTACAGCTGAGGGTCCTGTACAAGAGTCCTAATTGCCCCTAGGCAAATATTATGTATATGGAGAGATGAGTCCTCCTTTCCTCACAGAAAGTACAGCTTTCCACATATCGCATCTCCTGCACATGGAGCATGTCTGAAGTCTTGGGAGACTCCATGTGTGATCTCATTTGGGTGAGGATGGCCACATGCGTAGAATCCTGGGCTCAGGAGAGCTCAAAGGTTTGGTTTATTTTTCATTCTACTTATGTGGAATTTATTTTTGGATACTGTCCTGCAGCAGTGATGCAATTGTTAAGAGCTAGTATCTTCATTTTTCTACCTTGTGGTCCCAAAATCTTTGCAGCCTTCAGCAGCAAACAAAGGTTACCTGTTAAAGGGGATGAGCTCTAACTAATTAAGCTAACTTTTATGGCTTCCACAACTCTGTGTGATGACAGTGTGCTGGTACGGAAGATGTTTCTCTGAACTCAGAAGAACATTTGGTATCTGCAATGGCCAGGTTTTTGAATGTGCTGCAGCTTGTTGCACCATCTGTGCTAAAAGAAGTGGACGTGCCACTCCTAAATGTTAGGGATGCTTTGTTTCAGCAAGCACATAACAAGTGATTGTAAGGCTTCTTCAAAATGATTTGCAAGAAGATAAAGAACCATACATAGTTTTCTGTCTTTTTTATATAGGTGAGAGAGCAACTGAGTATCTTCTGCTTCTCCACATGAGCTATCTCGAAGATGAGACGAGTCACCACAGCCCAGGGAATGCTAACATTTGGATTACACCTCCCTGCAACACAGAACCCTGCCTCCACCTCTCAGGTACAGTGGTGCTTGATCCCTCCCATAGCAAATCCCTGATTAATTTGAGGTCTGCTGCATCCCTGCATACCCAATGGCTGGTGATACTTTTCATGACTATTTTGTACCTTGAGCTATTTGTACCTGTGAAAAATGGATTTAAAAACCTGTCAGGCACAATCAGAGGCACTCTGTGCATGCCATCTGAGTGTCTTATGTCTGTGGGGATGGCTGCTCAGCATGAAATCCCTGGCAGAGATTGGATCTGATCTAGGTTTCGCTCTGTTACCCCAGAGTCCATGAATTGAACAGTACAAGAAAAGAAATTAAGCCTAGGTTTGGCTAGGTTTGAGCATTAGAGTTTGGGGATGGATTAAGACTTTTCAAAACCCATCCTGTCTATCCCACCCCCTGTGCCTCCCTTTCTAAGTAAATGTGTTGATCTGTGTACTGATAAAGCTTCCTCAGATGCAGGATATCTTTTGGCTGCATCTTTGGCTGTGCTGGAAATAACTCCCTCTCTCCCATCCCTCCCCTCCACCCCACTCAAATTCTTCAGCTGCAGCAGGGCAAGCAGCCAACCTCATTTCTAAGCGTCTCTTGTCTGAGGCTCCATCCAGATGCTTTCAGGGAGAGGCCTGATCAAAGCAGACAGTGCTGCAATTGAGCCTGGTAGCAGGGAGCTGCGAAATGGTCATGGGCTCCCAGGAAAACCCCGCGACTATTTGTCAGGCTGCTTTGATGAAGCCCGTCACCAGAGATGCAGTTGTCCCCAGCACCCAGCATAGCACAAAGGATGGAAAGATGGACACACATATTTGGTTGGCAATGTGAGCAGTGGAAAGTATTGTATTTTCTCCATGGCAAGGTTGACTTTTGAGTCCTTTCTGTGATATAATTTACTTTTCCATCCTTTCTTCTGTTTTAACTCCAACAAGCTAATTGGCTTATTCAGCATTTCCTTGCCAAATTGTACATATAATTTGATGATGGAATAGTAAGCAACAGCAGCAATAGTAATTATGATCTCAGTATCTGCAGAAAGATTTGCATTTACAATACAATTTTTTGTAAAAGTAGTATTTTTTGTAGAAGTTATATTTAGCAAAGAATGCCACAGTATATATCACAGCCTATAAGCTCTGAGTGTTTTGAACTGTTACTCACAAACACTGCTGACAGTTTTTTGAAAGGCTCGATATAAAGCCCTTCAGCCCGTTGAAGGAGACACTTGTCTGCACTGTAACTAGTACATATGGTATTTACAGCCACACTCCTCTTTCTGCTGTGCATCTCATCATCTGCAGTCACTCTTACACTCAACTTTATTTCATCTTCAACAATGCACATGAAGTGAGTCTGACAGTAGGCTTACCTAAACATCATTATCACAAGCAGCTTACAGTGATCAGAATGCGTACTTTGCTGTTTGGATGCTCCCTGCATCGCTTGTTAGGCATCTCTGCTGCCCCACTGCTCTTTTGGGCAGAGGGAAGGCATCGTGCTGGGGGGTTGGAAATATGGCTATACATATCAAATATACATAAATATTTGATTTGCATACAAGGCATCCAAGTCATTGACTTCTGAGGGGAATCTGAAATTACAGGTGCTTTCTCAGATCATGCTAAACAAAAAATAATGTTGGCCCCATTTCAGCATGCCTGAGGTATGAGAGTGCAGCAGGCAAATGGTTGAAATGTCAGGTCCTTGTCACAACCACGCATGGGCTGCATGCTTGTCCTGGACCTGTGATGTGTGATGGCAAATCTGTTGTTCCCATTTTACATGATCTAATAGTGATAGGACAAAGGGGAATGGCTTTACACTAAAAGAGAGAAATTTAGGTTAGATGTTAGGGAGAAAATATTTAGTCAGAGGATGGTGAGGTGCTGTCACAGCTGCCCAGAGAAGCTGCGTTGTCCCATCCCTGCAGGCACTCAAGGCCAGGTTGGATGGGGCCCTGGGCAGCTGAGCTTTTGGGGAGCAGCCCTGCCCGTGGAGCGGGGTGGGACTGGGTGGGCTTTGAGGTCCCTTCCAATATAAAACATTCTGTGATTCTATGATTCTATCAGGAGAACTCAGCATAGACAAAGGAGTGGCAAAAGAGTCACATCACAAGTATAAATTCCCATTTTGCTTAGTTCCTTTTTTTTTTTTTTTTTTTAATATGTGTTCGCAAGCTTTCCCATTCCTCTTAATTTGGGCTGGAGGTGTTCCAGATAAGATATTTGTGTGACCTGCTTACCTGCCTGGGATTTATCCTCATATCACATTGATGACCTGGAGGTGGAGATATTGTAAAACATGGAGTATTTTTCCTCATAAATTGGAAAAATAAATATCTGGAAAAAATCTTAGATTTTTTTTTCATCCAAAGTGAAAAAAAAATTCAAGACCCAGTTGTGATTGTTTTCCTTCCCTTCTAGCATTCTGTTATGAAACACATTTACTATTTGTGAACTACTCTGGTTGAGGGCAAGTCATGTAATTCCCAGAGAAGGATGATCTCAGGATATGAAAGAATCTAAAGTGAAGCCAGATGAAAAAATGAGGATGTGGGGAGATTTCCTTTTATATTTCTCCCCCACTTGCCAGTGTTTTTGGAATATGCCTAGGTGCTGTTGTGCCTGTATGTTTTCTTGAACTGAGACTGCTGCAGAAGCTGCAATTGTCTAAACAGAGATTTGATTACATGACGTGTTATTATTTTTTGGGCAGTTTTTAAATATTAGCACAACCTTGATTAAAAATCTGATGGTGGCAAATGCTGGAGAATAAGGAGGAGGTAACTGTGAAGAAGTGGCAGAGACAAAGTGCCCCCATTTCCCTTTCTCCCGTAATGGATGGGGAGAAGGTATCTCTGGCTTGATTTTTTAAAATTATTTTATTTTTTGGTTTGGTCTTCTGTGACCCTGTGGAAAGGTTCTCTTGTGACCCCCTTCTCCCTACCCACTCTGCTTAAGAACTTTCTTTTATCTTGGAGCATATTTAAAACAACGCCCATGTAACCAAGCCTTGGTAATGTCTGAGCCGGAACTGGGGAGGGGAGGTTTTCAGAAATAAATGAGAAACCCTTTCTAACATGATTATTGCCAGTGTGGAGAGAGAGGTGGCTCAGGGAAGGGGAGAGCAGGAGGGCATGAACAGCAGCAATACAGTACTTAGCAGGTGTTGGGGAGAGCAGAATCTAATGAGAATCATAGAAACACTTGAAAGCTTTTTAACTCCATACAGGATTTGCAGGAGCTGTTGATAGGAAACAGTAGTGACCCAACTGATAGTTAAAGAGATGAAAGGGAAGCCCTTCGGATTAAATAAGATTTAGGAAATAAAAGGATTAGTGATACACAAAAGCTAGATTTAGGGGTTTATTTAACCAGTGCAGTGTGGCATGATGGGATGTGGGCCATCAGAAAGGAGATGAAAGACAAAGTAAAAGGACGAAAGGGGAGGTAGTAGGGAGGCGAGGAATCAGCACAACATCTCCAAAACCCCTCACAAATCTTCTTATAATTGAAAATGGCACAAAAAAGTAGTTTTCATTAGCAATCCTGTCTTCTTTACATAGTAACAAGAAATGCTACAATGACAAGAAATCTTCTGTGATGGACTGTCAGCTCAAATTTATGTTACACAGGAGGAGAGACTACGTTGTCCGTTCATTCACGCTTATAGATTAGAAGTTTGATGAAGTAAAATCAGATCTATGTAAAAATATCACTTCAGTAGATTCCTATTTAATTGTGCTTTCGAGTACAGGCTGCTGAAAGGACATTCTTGTTTAAAAGATCTCCAATTGGAGGTCTCTAGTGAATTGGACGTCAGCCACAGAAATGAGAGGTGGTGAGCACGTGTCTGTGGAGCCAAGAGCAGAATGCCTCCAGCAAGCATCAATCCTGGGACCAGTTCATTTTGTAGCTGAAAAAACAGGACTGATAAGTTTCCAGAGCAAAGCTGCTGGACTTCTGGCTGAATCATCTATTAGTACTGGTGACCATTTGTGTTTTTAGAGAAGTACAGAAAAAAAGGTTACGTTAAAGTATTTGACTTTAGTTCGTCAGTTGTTTATTTAGGGACTACTTCAAAGAGCACTGAGGATAGTAGAATGGCTACCAAGGGGATTTGGCTCAGAACGTAAGACATTATAGTCAAGTAATTGTTGATGCTCTCAGCTTCTTGTAAGTGCCAAGTGGAGAAAACACAACATCTTCTGTTTCGAAGATGCTCTTACTCCTAATCTCCAGGTCATAACTATTTACTCTCTAGTGTGTCAGATGCTATCCGGACAGAATTGTAGACTCACAGAATCATTAAGGTTGGACCAGTAAGACCATCTAGTTCAACCATCAACCCGTCACCACCATGCCCATTATCTCCTTGTCTAAACGGAAAAAAATACATCTTTTGTGACCTCATTTTATCAATATGAAGATTTTTTTGCAATCATGGATAGTTATGATTACATTAGGAAGGTTTAGGTTTATAATGTTTGGGGGATGTTCAAATTAAAGTAATCCAGATTCATCCTGTCAGTATTTCTGGAAATACATTAGTGTAGAAATGTTTCTACAGATAATATTTACTTTTTTACTTTTTCTGTAATCACATAGGAATGCTAATGGGGTTACAAAATGTTTCAAAAGTTAGGGAATGACATTATTTCAGTTTCTTAGGTATCTTTTATTTGGCCTTGTTTTGCCTGTGGTACTTGATGGTTTAATTGCTAGAATGTCCCAGAGTAGTTCTTTTTCAGTAAAATCTGTCCTGAACAAGAAATCTAGGTCTATATAATAGATTTAAGCATTACTTATGATTGCTTTGCATTTTTTTTTTCTGCTTCTCTCTGTAAAGAGAACTGCATTCCAGTTGATTGGATTTGGATGGAAATGGATGCTTGACTGAAAATTCACAGAGAGTGCTTAAGGGGCACTTTATTTTTTCAGTAAAATGATCTTCAATATCCTGACTGCATAACAAAATCTTTGTAAAATACTTTTTGCACCTAAATTACCCCTTCATTTATTTTATTATTGTTTTAGTCCCTGAATGAGAGCAGATAAAACTTGTTTTTCTTAATGAGCTGTTTGTCTTAATGAGATGTTTATTATTAATACATAAACAATTTGATGCCCGTGCAGGGACAATTTTCAGATTTACTTATATGTCTGTTTGGATTTTCCAAAACACCTGGCTGGATGGAGTGTCTAGTGGCTCATGGTATCAGAGAGCATAAGTCAGCGTCTGCAAATACTTAGGGGCCCTTGAAATTGGGATTTTCAAATTTTGCTGTATGTAATAGCTTGCCTGGGATTCATGAGGAAACTAGGGTGGATGCAGTGGCAAAATTCACGTCTCCAGAGATGACTCACTTGTTGTCTTCTTTGCTGTCTCAGACTCCTTGAGTATATCTTCCCTGTCTATGCAAGTATGGTCTAGTCCAACAAGGAGGACATGTATCTGGACCAACATCCAGCATAAGTCCCTTCTGGCCTGCGAGCCCTGCAGCCTTCATTGTACCGTGTCCTTGCTTCTGAGGGCTTGAGTTTACAGCCTGAACAAATGCTGTAATCCTGTACTTCATATGACGACATGGCTGTCTTCATATGCCTGAGGAGGTGGGGCGTGGGTTTACTGGCTTGCTCACAGGTTATTTCCATCTTTTCCCTTTGGAATTTGACATCCTTCTTCTAGAGCATGAAGATGGTACTATGGGTGTTTGTTAGTCTGACAGAGATCAAGGACTGTAACTTCACAGTGGCTAATTTTGCCATGGATGTACAGCTTGCTGTTGAGGTTTCTGTTTACTTTTAGATTTGAAATAAATTATCTGTTATGATTTTTTTTTTTTTTTTGAGTAAATAACAGTTGGAAAATGTGTTTTAGAAAAGTGAATGTGAGTTTATTAATATAGGGTAATTGAGTCCTCATATTAAACAGTACCACCAATACTGCATATTGGTAGTACATGGATGGTTGCTTTAACTTTTATTTAGGAACATCCTGAGACATTAATTTTTACATAAATGCATTCTTATGATTATAATTAATTCCAAACTCATTCCAAAATGTTGCTTCATTACTGTCTTTTAAAGTTACATTTCATTTGAGTGTGCTCCTGCACTGTTGTCTTCTCTCTTTGTTGCCTCTCTTCCAATCAGAGTGGATGAAATGCTGAAATATTGCTGTGGTAGACTTGAAATTCCTAAAACAGAACATACCAGAGTTTTCAGGAGAACAAAAGCCCCTTTTTGTCCTACAGCACATTTTTCTGTCCTAATTCCTCTCTGGGGATAGCCTTTACAAGGAAACAATTTTTGGTCACCAGCAGCAGGGTTTCACCTGGCAGTTCTTGCTTTCTGTGTTCTCCTACCAGCTCTCCTGCTCCAACTACTGCTGCTAATCTAAGTACATTGAATTGAGTAGTGAGGAGCTAACATCCCTCTCTGACATTATCCAGCATCTTTCTTTCAGCCCCCAAAACGAAACTGGCAGAGCAAGCAACAGATTCTTCCATGCTTCCTGAAAGGAGATTGTAGTGATGTGAGAGTAGGCTTGTTTTCCCAGGCAACAGCAATAAGATGAGAGGGAATGCCCTTTAGCTGCATCAGAGGAAGTTCAGGTTGGATATTAAGGAAAATTTGTCCCCAGAAAGAGTGGCACAGGCTGCCTAGGGAAGTGATGGAACACCTGGAGGTGTTCAAGAACCGTGTGGATATCGCACTGAGGGACATGGTTAGTGGGCATGGTGTGATGGGTTGATGGTTGGACTAGATAGTCTTAGTGATGTTTCCAACTATACCGATTCTATGATTCTGTGATTATAGTTGCACATCATAAATAGCCACAAAATAAGATGTTTTTATTCACTCTCTGAACAAACTTTTTCTACAGATGATACATGTGGTTTACACTTAGAAAACTTTCAATGTCTCTTTGAGAAAATACAGGGCTATAAACCCAACTTCAGTTCTGCTGTCTTTTCTTGGTAGTAGACATCATATATGGAGATGTTTTCTAATTTTTCTTTTGTTCCACTGTGGTGAATAACAGAGGCAGGACTCTGTAATCACAGCTCAGATAGGCTGGCTCATAAGCATCATGATGAAGCTTGTTGAACTCAGACCCTTTCTTACATAAGGTCATTGCATTGGTTCTCTCAGCCTTCTGGTCAGCTTTGATGTGAGCTGCAGTATTTCTGTGACCTTAGCCTAGGGATAAACTAGTGGCCCTGCACTCAGCAGTGGTTAAACGTGAATATATAAAGAAAGTGGAGATTTGCTTTGTGCCATATGAGGTTACTTTCAAGCATACCCACAAACTTGTAGAAAATTGATGTATTTGCTTTATTGAAAATATGTAATAGTAGGAAAAGAAACAGTATTTCAGGCAAAATAATATTTAAAGCTTACCAGCTCATGTACCTTGCTCTATGATTTCTGTTTGAGAAATAGATCTGCTCGTATCTCCATAAATATGTCTTGCCAATTTCTTTTTCTTTTTTTTCCCTTTTTCTATAGATTAAAGAGTTTATACCCTTTCATGTTCAGCTTTTTTTCCGTAAGCCACTAAAGTCAATTTTTTGGGTCATTAGGGCATGTATCAAATGTGTGTATATAACTTTGTATAGTCATATTTCTTTTTGTCCTTTTGGGTGTTTATTTTGAAGGAAGTTAAGTATGAACCAGTTCTTAAGCAGTTCTTAAATGTGTAGTGTCTTTAACTGCTGTGTTTGGAGAACAGAAGGTTTTGTCTGTGACTACTGAAGGATGGTATCCTATATTTTATATTTTCAAGCCAAAGACAAGGGAAAATGTAAGTTTACAGAAGGTGCAGAAGGGATTGCTTAAATCTTCCCAAGTGCAGTCATCAGTAAATCATGCAAAAAAGAGCAATAGAGGAAGTATAGGAAGCCTCTGTGCTGGTGCAGAAGAAAAAGGAAAGATTTTTGTGCAGACAAATGCATATAGATTGCTTCAGTAGTCAGCTCGAACAGTCAGTTCCATTTCTTGGCCTAAATGTAAGCTGTACATAAAGCTGTATGGAGAAAAGGTTGCTTCACTTTTCTGTCTCTCTGTGTGCCGTGGGGGCTGAGTGGCATGCTCTAGAACTGCTTTGATTCTTAGTGATTGTGTTCAATTTTGCGCATTTTAGTTAATCTTGGCAAAGTTATGAAGCGTCCTGTTGGGACTGGGCTTCTTGAAGAGTAAACTTATATGGTGGCTATAGAGTAGGATGAGTCTGAAAGTTGCTGAAGGTTCCCTGTGCATTCACCAGAGGAGAAAAGACCTTTCGGGGAGCAATTCTTCCAAATAATAATGAAAGGCAATGAAGTTCTCAGTGCAACTCTTGAAAATTAGGGCTGTTTTGAAATGGTAATGTGTTCATTGTAACAGGTAATGGGAACACTGCATCTGGACTTCTTCAAGATGAGTCACACTTTTCCTCTTTAATTCTGCAGAGACTTGGCACCTCTGCGTGATGAAATCCAAATACTGGCTGTGGTTACGGAACCGAGCAAAATACAGAGCAGATGAAGAGATACAGGTCAGAATATGCATCTATAGCTGTTTGCCAAGATGACATGGATCCAGAGGAATGTTTGAGCACAACCCAGAAATTGTCATTCTTGAATATACATCCATTGAGATGACCCTAGAGAATATACACCTGGTTTTCACTTAACCAATTGCAGAAGAGATACCAGCTGAAAAGTACTGAAAATTGGAAAATTTTCAGATAGGTCAATGCTGTTTCTAAAATATCCTGGGATTTGGAGTACACTATTCTGTACTGTTTCTTTTGCTCCAAAACTAAAAGACACTGTCCTAATAAAGAGGACAGTACAGAATGACTGCTGCATTGCTATTTTGATGACAGGCCCCTTCTTTTTCTACTTGTTTGCTTTAGTTCTTACCTTATGCAATGATAATTTTAGAAATGAATTCTAAAGTGAATGACATTTCCTGCAATTGCTGTCCCTTATCTGGAAGATAATGCTTATAGATGTGAATTGATAGTTTCTGAGATTAGCAATGCAAGATTGTGTTTCCTATACAGACTGACTTAAAACCAGGAGGATAAAATGGCTTTTACTATGCAAAGGTATTTCTGTTCAGGTCTGTTGGAATGTTCTACTGCCTAGGACACAGGTAAAAAAATATTTGATGTTTAGTCTAAGTTTTGCCTTTCTCAGAGTTATCATTATTTATAATTACTGCTCTTTTACTATCCTAACTTGTTTTTTCTCTGCTGCCTGTTTATTTCTAACAGATGCTTACAGCCAGTTAACATATGTCCCCTCAGCCTTTGCCTAGTTAAGCTGTATGCAAATCAGTTACTTCTTTCAATTTTCCCCCCATCTAAATCCCCTCCTCAGCTACTTAACATTTTCTTCATTTTCTCATGGCTTCTAATATGTCTGCAGCGCTGAATGAATATCCTGGGAGTGGCAATTTGGTTTTAAAGATATAAATAAATAACTAAAAACACAATCTTTTTTTAATTAAAGCTATTTATTATTTGCAGAGCTGTAGCTCGCGGGGCCTCATTGTTCGGGAACACCACGTAACAAAAAGAAAAGCCGTGCACTGAGGAGCTGCTGTGTCTGCAAGGGATCTCTTCAAAACAGAAACCAAACAAAATTGAACAAACCCAACAATGTACTCTGCAGCCAACAATGGCCGCTGCCAAAGTCTTGTACCTGGCAGCATTCAACAGGTTATAATGCTTGTATCTGCTTGGTTGTCTTCCTATCCCATTTGTTGTTGCTGCGTGTGTTTTATATGACTTAATTCAGTACCTGTAGGTAGACTTAGGTTTTGCTGCAGTGTGGCTGTGGCTTTGGGAGCCTCTGCTTGTTTTCATGCTGGCAGCAACTGGCAGCTTCTGGTTAAATCCAGCTGATGATGAGCGCTGCCGTGCTTGAGGCGCTGTGCGAGCAGAGGCAGACAGAGCAATCCCAGGCCAGCAAGCTCTGGTCTTGTGCCTGGAGACGTCCTTGGGAGCTCCAAGGGAGATGTGGCGTCGCCATGGCGAGGCCTGGAGTCTGGGGATGGCTCCTCTCCTTGTGGATGGGAATGATGGCTTCTGTTTTTAGACAGCAGCGGTTCCAGAGATGCATCCCTAAGTGGCTGGTGTCCATCCTGCAGCAATCCAGACCTTCCTGTGAGGCCTGCTGAGATGGAGAAATGCTGAGACTGTGGCTCCCTATGTGACTCTGGGACTTCTGCACCATGTACAACATAGGGAGCCTGACTGAGGACATGAAGGATGCTTGTGCAAAGGGAACAGTCAAGCTAGGGCCACATGCAAGTGAAGTCACTCTTCACTTTCTCCCTCTCATGGCACATTCACATTCTGAAAATGGTAACATGGAGAGTTGAGAAAGGACAGGCTGTAGATAAGGCCCTTTCAATCAGACCGTTGGTCTCATCAACATAAAGGGCCTGACATACTTAGAACAAATATGAATAAACATCCAGTGTTGTGGAAAACACTAATTGAGGTGAGATACTTCCCAAGAGCAAATGAGGGATCATTTCTTCTGACACTGACATCCATTACATGTATACAGATAGGACCATCAACACCACCAACTCAAAGCTTTGCTATGGTCTACAGGGCCACTAGAGAAAGCAAAGTACTAGGTGACATTTCTAAGCAGTCAGTTCTTGTTCTCCAAACACATCTAAATTAAAGATCCATGATCCTGCAAATGCATGAATTGTGCATATAACATAATTTTCCAGGAGTTTAAAGGTTGCCATTGAGGAACTTGTGTTACCTCCAATGGATAGAACAAGGAGAACATTTGCACCCAAGAAACACTACTTTTTCAGTATTAAAGTTGTAAAAGGCAAAGGAGAATACTGAGAAGCAAAGCTGTAATTTTCTCTGGCCTTTTGCCGTCTCCTTTCATTACATGTCTAGGAGAAGTAAACAAGGTCTGATGCATTCCTATTGGAAACAGTTTTAGCAAAATTGGAGTCCTTCTGCTGCAAACGGTGGAGGTAGACATGATTATCCACATTTTGGGTCTACTGCATACACAGGGCTCATTCTGCCTTCAGTTCCAACACTGCTTCAGACCTCAGTTCATTAGGTTCACTTTGTTCAGCCTTCAGCAATGTGGCTCCCAGATGTGTTTTCCGGTATTTCGTTTATAACTCTGAGGAATCTACAGCATCCAGTCACCCCTGTGTCTTTTTTTTTTTTTTCCTGGCATTGAAGTTCTTTGAACAGGACATTCTTATTAACATCAACAGTCAAATATGAAATAAAGCTAAGAAACCCTGTCAGGTTTTCATTCTCACCAGAAAGAAATTTAAGGTAGAACTTCAACAAGCATCCTCATAGAAATATTTGCTGGCAAGGTTTTTGTTCACCACTGTGCTGATATAGTTTTCAGCTGACAACATACGTTCCTATGCAACATCTTTTGAGTCTTCTGCTTTGTGAATATCAGTATCAGCATTGCAGCAATGATAGTTCTGGGATGTAAATGGTTTATTTTATTTTACCAACTTAGGTAGTTTGGGAAAAAATGAGCTGGAGGAGGGCATGTATGTCTGCAAGCTTGTCTGTTTTCTCCAGCTACATGGACTTGAAAAATGCTATCTCTGTTACAAATCTTACTTTCCTTTGTATGCATGCGGTTGGATAATTACCTCTAACTATTGCTTGGATAAATGGTTTCTAAAGAATTTGGGCACACAAAGTCATAGTTGCTAAATTGTCTAAAGATGATTTCTTAAATTAAGTAATTTTCTCTCTAAGTTTGTTTCATGACACATGTAAATACTTTTTGCCATATGTATTTCTAGGCCACTTTTTAAAGCACGCAGAATTATTAGGTCTTATAAATTTTCACAGGCATGGCAAAAAATGCCAGCAATTGCTTTTGTCTAAGTCATTTAAAAAAGGTGTCACGATGTCTGACTTCAAAGTGCCTGGTAAATCTGGATCAGAGAGGCAATGAATTTGAAATATTAAATCATGCATAGCACAGAGCATTGGGCAAAATTAAAAAGGGAGGCTGAGTAAAAGATCATAGAAAAACATAACTCAAGCAGGACTGTGGTATTTTGATTTATTTTCAGTTTTTTAAAAACTGATTTTGTTTTGCAGGATCTCCCTGTGCCCTTCTGCCATCATGAGAAAAGAGCTTCAGCACACTTTGCTTTCCAGGCTTTGTATTTACAGCTGGTTCCTGAAGGAGGTTCATGAACTCTGCTGCACACAGCGAGTTGCTTCTTGCCTACACATAGTTTTAATTGTAGTATTTAGCAATTGGTTTAGTCTCTTAATTGCAAGGTATAACATCTCTGCCAAAAATATCATAAATGATGATAACTGAGTATTTTTCATATCTGAAGTATCTCAGAATTTGAATCTCGGTTATGCCTTACCTTCCCCTGTTCTTGGGACAGTGTATTCCTCATTTTAATTCTGTGCCTTCCAGAGAAGCACTACTTAATTTCTTTGCGTATTGCCTGTGCTTCATTGCAGTGACAGTAGAATCCAGGACAGGATGAAGGAAGGGCCCCATCTAGGTTTTTCAGAACATGCAATACTGCATGTTTCTATCAAATCCCAGACTATCTTTCACTTCTCTACTGTTAGCAATTCCAGTCTTTATGAACTTGCTTGACAGGAGAGGCTGCTTTTGGGCTAATCCTACTTCTACCCTCACTGACATGGCTACTCCTCCCCATCCTCGTGAAGCAAATTCACCTGGCTCTTGGCTGCCCCTGACCAGGAGGTTTACTCCAAGCTCTCTGTCTTACACTCTCTTTCCTCCAATTGAAATGGTTGTCAGGACCTTGTCTGGTATAAGACTAGGTTACATTTTGCTTGTCAAAAAGGTGCTTTTTCTGTTTTACATTTGGCTTTTATTCTTGCATTGCCTGACCTCATACTGCACCCTGACCCACATGAAACCCTAAATAACCATATCACTTGTTAGTGTTAGTATTACAGTATGTTTGTTAAGCAGTACACTGTTTCAAGGCTCTTGTTGATGGCTGCTGCACAGAGAATTTATTGCTTAATCCTATCTTTTGTTTTCCAGACTTTTTCTGATCTTGTTTCCATTGCTTACCTTTCTCTCTGTGAGTATGTAATGTTTATATATGACTCCTTGAAAGACCTTGCAGGCTGTGTCACGGCTGTGTCAGGGCAGGAACTCAATGAGCTTCAGAAGGAAACTTTCTAGTCCTACCGACTGGGTCACCCATAGAAAGTGCTGTCTTCAGAAGGGATGGAAATCCAGCAGTTGCAGTTTCAGACTCGTCCAGCTGTCAGCTGAAAAATATCTACAAAGGCTTGCTAAAAATATCTGTCAAAAGTTTAATTTATGACAAAGTAAAAATGCTATGTGAAACATATTGAGCCCTGGTTTTGAAGCTTGTTTGGAAAACTTTTTAACCTGTAGCTGGCTTTACCTGATGTTTATCTGCCATATCATAGATTCATAGAATGTCTTGGGTTGGAATGGATCGAAAATCATCCAGTTCTAACCCCCTCACCACTTGTTCTTGCAGCTCTACCACTGCTACCACAGCCTGTCTTCTATATTTTTTTGGTGCAATGCTGTCTTCATTGTTAACATAGTCAAATTTCGAAGTCAGACTCCACTCTTCTCCATTATTACTTCTATTACGAAAATTTGTGAATTTTTTTGTCCATTTTAAAATTTGGGATATGCCATGGCACAGTCTCATGAGGTTTGTAGTTCTGCAGCCTCAGTATTTTGTCATGTGGGTAACATTAATCAGGATGATTTGGTCTTTGAGGCATCCTCAATCTAAGTATTTTCAGTAGTTCTTTTCTGTGCAAGAAAGGACTGAAGAGCCTGCAGTAGGGAGGGAAAGGGAGAGATGGCTTTGTACTTCTTTCTTTTCTTTTTTTTTTCTTTTTTTTTAACCAACATATTTGAGCTTTCAAATACTGCTAAAATCTAATGTACTCTCCAAGGCCTTGTTCTGTGTGTTATAATCTGTAATCATCTGTGTTACAGTTTTCACAGAAGTGCTAAAACCATTTTAGCACCACTTTGCTGGCAAGAACATTTAGAGTCTTTCAAAGAATGAAACTTTTCATGAACTACAAATAGAAGACATTTGCGAGGCTTTTATGAAAACTTGGCATTTAGCTGACTGTGTTAAGTCCAAGAGTAATTTTCAGATCTGCAGTATATAAAATTGGTCCTCAAGCTCCTTCTAAATAGCAGCACAAAGTAGGACTCTGAAAAGTCAGTTGTCTGTGTCATAATTAGTAGGAGATAAACTAAGTGTCAGAAAACACATTTGCAGAGGAAAAAATGTCTCCATACTTTTATCTTTCTTTCATATTGTACACAAAATTGAAAACTGCTCTCTCTTATTAAGAATTCATGCATTTAGTAATATTATTACTTTTATAAAGATACCCACTCTAAAATAAAACGGACCTAAACTCAGAAGAAATGTGACTCCATGGGGAAAAAGGCACATCATTTTACTGGCTTCCTATACCAAATTTTCAAGATCAAATTCTGCAGAAGAGAAAAGGAAAGGAAGGTACAAACTTTTCCAAATAGAAATGGTGTAAAATGGAAATTTAATTTTTTTTTTTTTTTTTTTTTTTTTTCCTCACAGGGAGATCAGCACAATCAGATCTTACAGAATAATGATATAGGTATTATTATCATTATTTTCAAACTGGCTTTAATTTTCAGAATACATCCTCATCTG